AAATTGTAAACCCTTCACTAAGGTCACCATCAAAGTTGAGCGACAAACCAAACTTCGTTCCATTTCCTAATGATAGTTTTGGTCAACCAATGAACAACGTATATTTGGCTAAGTGCTATGCCCGAGGTGATGAAGAGCTATTTCAGGAGGAGAAGAACGTCTCGAGAAGCCGAGAATGGCATAAAATACAATTATGGATAATACATCATTGAAAGTACACCTACAAGATATATACGGCAAGGGGATAAACAGTCCTTGGAATCGTAGTACACATTCGCAGCGCTTAACGCTAACCATATTGGTCTTACCATGGAAAGTATGACGGTTCCGATGAAAATATAGCTTTTCTGAAACATTGGTGTTGTTGTGTTTTTCATCAAAGCAACCAGACTTTAGGCAAGGAACAAATATGAACGAAGAGTAAGTTTCAGCTTTAATAATGGTCTAGGTAGTTAAGATAGAACAGAGCATAACAGTGCATGAGTGAAAAGATCATCGTGAGGTAAATTAGTGTTATTTGGGTGAAAAGTGAATTCAAAGATCTGGAAGATTAGAACTCGTGGTACAAGCTGGCCTGTAAGATGTCTCAAGAATTTCTACAGAGTTCATGGAATAGCATTGATGTTTTGGTTTCATTCTGAACTTTGAAAGATGGTTCAGACATCTAAAAGACGGTAATTATGGGAACTGGAGTAACACTTTCTGTCTTTTTAGAGTATTTCCTTTGACGCAGTTTCTTATCAACAATTTGCAGTATTCCTGGTCATTTTATAGGAAGCTTGATTTCCTGTTCATTTCCATCAACTGTCCCTTCACGCACAGTAGCATGCAGTAACTACACATACTCAAGCATTGTGACATGAACACCACAAAGTCCCTCTAGATAAACTGTTTAATAATAAATGGTTTTAAAAAATGCCTCATAAGTGCAGCTTCCATATCCTTCATAGCCACAAGTAATTACTGAATGAGCCCAGAATATCTTAGTGATCTGAAAATGAATGATTATTAGGACTGATATGACTTACGCAACAGGTGTACTAGTAGTAGGATGAAGCTGCAAGCTGCTATTCGACATAAAGTTAATGCTAACTGTAAGCACTGTTACGTTTCCGAAGGACCATCTGTTGTATTTCTTAATGTGCTTCATTGAACGACTACCTTGCAGATTGTTCCCCCAAACTAAATTCAAAAAGGAAAGAAACCATGTAAATTCACCACAAACCAAATTTATGTAATTTAAATTATACTTGTTCATACCTGTACAATTGGTATGTTCCTACATAGATAAGAATAAATGCATGGTTGTTAATAACTGTAAGCAGTGTTACATTTCAGAAGGACCATCCATAGTATTCTTCCTATCCCAATGCACACTGATATCAAGATAAGTCGATGGCATTTGATGCAGTAAGCAGTTATGGTCTTCTAAAATTCCATGTGACAACGTAGATTCCACTAGTATCACACCTTCGGCTTAGCAGTTTTAACAATGAACTTCATCAAAATGGACATAATCACTGTGAAATTCAGTCACTTGTCTCATTCGTCGTATGATTTCTCCGATGCGTTATGGAAGATTTCACTCATCATGAATGAATATAAAAATGCTTAACCTCCTCAGACCATACATCCAACTTATGTCTGTGGGGTTATTCTCTTTCAAAAACCTGAGTCGGATGGAATAACTGCTATGACACCAACCATTCATTGCCTGTAGTCAATTTGAGACCTGAAAATCTAAGACCACTCTCAAGTATCAAAGCTCTCAAACGAAAACAATAGTCGTTTCTAGGCATAATTTCTTTAAGTGGATGCCTTTCTTCGTAATAATTCATCTGGGATATGAAGATACTTTCACGCATTAATTCGAACACAGTACAGGAAAGTATCGCTTTTCTCGGCTGCAGAAGCCTGAAACTAGTTAAATACACCCCATTTTCACAAAAATAAGTGTATATAACGCCTCTACAGATATGAAGACGATATATCACACCCTGCGCGAAAATACATCGCGATAGCCTTTATCCTCACCCAAATAAATCATTTCCGATTAGTTAAATTTCGAATTTGAAAATAAGTGGAAGTTTGAAAATTCGCAGGGAAACTCATATATATATATGTTTATCACGAAAAGTCAGATTTACATAACATAATGGTGCAGAATAAGTAGATATCGGCTGAACCGACAAGAATAAGTGGGAGCATACAACATACAATTTGTGACATGTTTTATGCATTTAAACTAAACCCATGATGATGTGATCAGACAAAACTACATGTATAAACATTTCACTATATCACTCCTGATCAGATATAGTGTGTGGCTTCTCATCCTTTATCACGTGACAGCCTGCTTGAATCACTGGGCTATCTGAATTTACATCCGAGACAATGCATCTTATCTCCTCTAGTCCTTGTTGTTATGGTCATTCAATTAAATCCGTGGTTCACCAAATGTCATCATGCACATTTCTAATTGGTTCGCAGCTTACCGTTGCTCACTCTTTGGGGACCAAACGAAAATACCATGAAGAATTATTTTCTTCTTCAGATCTAACATCACCGTATCACATGATGTACTGGAGATGTCTGTTTTGCTTGAAACACCTGGATGAAGAGAAAACAGTATGCAATAAACTACGCTGAAAATTATGCATATTGTGTAGGCTTATTGTGCATAATAAAGATATTACTATTATTGTCATTTAAAAAACTGCAGAGTATTTTACATATCTAATGTCGGTAGACTTTTGTTGTATTTATCACACAACGATTTACACTGCACCTGTTCCGTTGTTTGCTTTCAATTCTGTCAACAGACCAAATACCTGAAATGAAATATGACTCCACGCTTGATTTAAGATTATATACAATAAAGAGTATGATTTAAAGTGAGGAATGTCTTCGACGCAACTGGTATCTTCCACTGAACAAGACAGAGTAATCTAGCATGTAGCGACTCATAAATATCAGTAAAACAACCCTGACAAAGTCACTTCTTTGTGGGAATGTACGTGTAAAATCACCACAACTCTTTAAAAGCAGCATGGAATAATACTTATGCAGAGATTCTAGTCAAAGAGAACAGGGAATACAAGAAATAGGTCATTGCGGATAACTGGGAACTAGTGGAGGAGGAAACGATGGTATAGCAGAATATGAACCAGTACAGAAGTGAATGGTGAAAACTGAAACTGTTTATAAGCTACAGCACAGTGAATAAAGAAGTATGCTAGAAGGAACAAATGACGTTTACATGATGCTCTGGAAACCGAATCAGAACTGACTGGATGAAAGAAACACAACAACCCTATATCGGTTGATCAGGTTTCAATCCGGGAAGAGATCAACGCAGATGAAACCACTGAAATATGGTGAGGAAAATCCAGTTACCAGTGAGGTGGGACAGAGAAACAATGGGTTGATAAGTTCAAATGGATGTGAAAAATAGAAGACTACTTGCAACTCCTTCAGAAATATCTCTTGTTTATTATGTTGCTGTTTCCTACAAGTTATCATTTCTGGAACTTCAATACCTTTCGCGCTACATTTTCATAATTTCCTTCTGACAATTATTTATCTACCCTTCAAACACAAGTTCACAATGAACAGGTTAGACTGACATTGATAAACAATCACAACCGATCTAGGAATAGTGTGTTAAAAAGCAGACATTACCACTGTTGAACTGAGACTAGGTCTATCGGATTATTAGTTACAGATCACAATGCAATACCCAACGGTTTCCAACTTATTTTGTGTGACTCTATGGGTCGAATAACGTTCCCTGCTTCTAGTGGCTATCTGTCTCCATATACCACATAGAAGAACCCAATGTCCGCGACTTTTACTGAGGGCTGGTAGAATCCGGTCTTGAAGCAAGCTGCTATCAAACAGTGGATTAATATTTCTCAATTGATAACATAATGAGTAGTTAACAGGATAACAACTGGATCGGGTTATTTGAACAAAGTGAAGAATGATAAGTGAAAAACAGCTTAACAACTGATGAATTTATTGATTTTTGATGGTATCGATTATCCTATGACTCACTGGTGTTGAATTTAAATCACTTTAAACCTTTCAAACAATTAGTCCCCTTGATGAATTTAGCAAAGCAATAAGAAGACGTAATTTGTCTGAATCGTGGTAAGTATTTGTTCAGCCCATTTCAAAAAATCTCATCACACACGGACTTGTCATAGGAATAATATATATGAAATTCATAAAGACATACGAGAGAACAATATTGTTTTCAATTACGTCTTCTTCAGGCTTTACTCAAATTTACATAGATTTCTATTTACAAATTTCAACCAATGACGGTGAGATTGTGGATCAAATAATAATGATGATGATAATAATAATAATAATGTGTCAGATGTTTCGAACATCAATAATAACAATGATTATAATGATAGCAATTATAATGATAATCAGGTTCATGCAGATGGCGATAAGAAGAACGAAGGTGGTAATTTGTGTACAGTTTACAATTTATTTAGGATAGTAGGCTATATGCCTGTGTTAATCCTTTCGATTTATTGCACACAGGATGTCCAATCTCGCCTTGAATGAATCAACGGATGGCGCTGATACGACGTGTTCCGGTAGGGAGTTCCAATGGTTCACAAGTCGATGCGAAAAACGGATCTCCAGACGCAGACGATTCGACCGTGGTTTTTGAACCTTGAGGTGATGTCCTCGCAATTGGTTGGTGCTAGAAGGAAGAAATAAATTAGATAAATTAGCTCCAAAATCATTTCTTAGGATACGGTATGCTAGTATTAGGTCACCCCTAAGTCGTCTGTATGACAGTGGAAATAAACCCAGTCGACCTAACCTCTCCTCATATGACAGGGTTGAGAAACCATTTATTAGCTTAGTTCCTACTCTTTGCACCCTTTCTAATAAGTCTATTTCGCATCTGAAACACGGGCTCGCTGCCTGGATCCCATATTTCAAATGAGGTCTGATATAAGTCGGATATAATATACGAAATATATCAGCGTCAAAGTTCGCAAAAGCCTTGCGTATGGCCCATAACATTCGAAAACCCTTAGTGGCTGCAGTTCTACAGTTTGTTGCTGTTTTCAAGTCATGCTGCACAACCACTCCCAAGTCCTTGTACTCAGTGACCACTGGGAGAGTAATGCCATTCATTGAGTAATTGTGCACGTGACTATGAGATACATGCATAACTACACTCTTGCTTAAGTTAATCTCCAAGGCCCAGTGCTTACACCAATCACTTAACAAGTTTAAATCTTCCTGCAAAGCAAGTTGATCACTGTCATCGTGCAAAGCCCTCCATATCTTGATGTCATCAGCAAACAGTAAGCAGGATGACTTAACTACCGATGGAATCTCATTAACATAAATCAGGAAAAGAAGTGGGCCTAGAATTGTACCCTGAGGAACGCCACTCTTAACCGATTCCCATGTTGATAAAACCCCGTTAACTCGTACTCTTTGTCTTCTGTCCTTTAGAAAGTCTTGAATCCAGTCGGTAACCACTTTATTGATTCCCAGACTACCTAACTTTACTAGAAGACCTGAATGAGAAACCCTGTCAAACGCCTTGCTAAGGTCTATGAATATGGCATCCACCGGTATATTAGCATCAGCTGAGCTTGCCCAACTTTCTCTGGCCAAAAGAAGGTTGGTCAAGCAAGAATGACCTGCTCTAAAACCGTGCTGTTCCACAGCGAAAAGTTTGTTCCCTTCAATGAACTGAATGATAGCATCACGAATTATTCTTTCTAGTAGTTTAACAACAATACTGGTCAAACTAACAGGACGATAGTTCTGAACTAAGTTTCTAGATCCGGTTTTGAAGACCGGACTAATGATGGCATCTTTCCAGTCTCTTGGACATTTAGACTGGTCCAGAGACATATTGAAGATTACCGACAATGGCTCGGCTATGCTTTCAGCCAATGCTGTTAATATACGTGGGTGGAGTTCATCAGGGCCACTGGACTTACCAGGATTGAGCCTTAGAAGCCACTTTAGGACAGTATCCTTTCCAATGTATAAGGGTGCCATTTTCAAGTTACCTTCTGGAAAATTTACAAAGCTGGTATCAATATTATCAGAGAATACTTGACTAAAGTGCTTGGACAAAGCCTCAGCCTTAGTCAAGTTATCCTCAGCCATGTTTGTCTGGTCATCTTCAAGCATAAGAGGTGGGATAGCATCACTCTTACGTGTTCTTCTCTTGATATATGAGAAGAGTCTTTTTGGGCAGCCTGGTGAACTTTTAACTAACTGGGTTTCGTAAGCTATCCTTGACTGGTGGATCAAAGTTTTACACTGGTTTCTGGTTTCACAGTATTTCAGCCGGAACTGCTGTAGCCCAGTAGAAACAAAGAGATTCCAGAACTTTTTTCTCCGTCTTAGGAGTGTTATAGCTTGTCTATTTATCCATGGTGGCCGATTTGTTGGCCTTTTAGGAACCCTCCAGGGGATGGAATCAGTGGTAACCCTCTCAAGTGTATTCTTAAATCTATCCCATTCATCTTCAATGGATGAGACAATGTTGACTGACCAGTCGGCAGTTGAAGCACGCTCCTTTATAGCCACTATGTCAGCATGCCAAACACTAGGCCGGGATTTGGGTTGAAAACTGACTAAATTGCCAGCCCTTAAGTTAAAATCTAACACCCCATGATCACTGTTTGCTAGAGGTGGATGAATAACTAGACCATCCACGTCGTCGTTGTCATGAGTAAGCACTAAGTCCAGCAAGGAAGATCCTTGGGTAGAACCGAATCTTGTACTACCTAAGACATGTTGTGTCAGGGCATTTTCCATGGTAGTCAAGAGTAACCGGCTGTCAAACTTATCAGCGGATCCTGGAGATGTGACAGCTACCCAGTCTATATGAGGTGCATTAAAATCACCTAGAATAAGACAGCTACTGTGTTTACTCCATTGTTTGAGGTGATCTAAAATGAAGTCATCACACTGACAATAGGGACTTCTATACAGAACTCCAATGAGTAGAGTGCCGGTTGCAAAGCTTACTTCACAGCTAATTACCTCACCTGTCCCACTGTCATGAGCTTCAGATTTCACGGAACGAACATGTAGGGAGTTGTTGATGTACAGAGCAACCCCGCCACCTCTACGACCCTTAACTCTGTCGCTGCGCAAGCAACTAAATCCGCATAGCTCAGGTGTGTCATCTAATCCAGAAACCAGCCATGTTTCAGTAATGGCCACAATACCTGGGCTAAGGTCTTCTACTAATACACCTAGCTCGTGAAATTTGTTCCCGATACTACGTATATTAGTGTACACTACCTTCAGGCTTCCTATGCGGTCTGGCTTATCCACACAGGTCTTGGAAGCATACGTTTCCAAGACCTGACTATTTGAAAACCCACCAGTTTAAGGTTAGTCTCACCATTTTTACGTCTTGTTTCTAGCTGGGACAAAACTTCTTTTCGTTTAAGTCTGTCTTCAAGAGATAAATCAGGTCTGGCTGAAATTCCTGACCCGGCAAGGTTGTGTACATTAGCCAGTAGATGATTCCGTTCATCAGGAGAACCTAAGACTACTTTAAGCAACCTACGCTGACTAGAACATTCATCATCTCTTTTGCCTATTCTAATCAGCTTTTTAATCGATACTCCAGGGAAATTCGCTGGGAGCATCTTCCTTATAATACTACTCACTAATTTAAGGTCGTGATCGTGCCTTTTCACGGGATCAGATTCTTTGGACTCTTCCAAATTTCCAACAATTATGTTAGAGTCTAAGGAGAGCTTGTCGTATTTAGCAGTGGCTACGTCCTTTCTCACCACTATTGATGCAGCCTGGCTACAGGTGACAGACGTTTGCCTACCATCAATATTACTATATTTCTTCCGACTGCTTATTTTTGTTACCCATTTATCATCTGCCTGCAGTTGCTTCTCAGGGCTGCTGCAGTTTTTGATGGTACAATCAAGATCAGTGTCTGCACCACCTTCATGGTGAACTTCGCTTACGGTGTTCTCTGGTTCTGAGATGCTGTTTACAGCTTCCGTTTTGTTACCTTTTCGCTTACTAAGACGCTTCGAACGCCTAGTAGGTTTTACTTCCGGGGTAACTGGGATAGTAACCGCCGGTGTGATAACATTCATGATGGCACTTACTGCGTCATCTTCAGACGGGCAGTCCGTGTCACTCTTACTAGCCACGCTATCATCAGGAAGTTCCATGGCTTTAGACAGCAGTTCGTGAGCCTCCCTTATTAAGGTCATCTTTGGGGAGCAACACATTCTGCACATCCAGTGGGATGTTGGAGCAGTACAACGTTTGTATGCAGCTGGACGTAATCCAGTACACATCTTATGATACCACTTTTCACAGTTATTACACTGTATTCCATCATCTACCAAAAAGTAACACTCCGCCCTATTACATTTATGTGGTACTTTTGACATAATAAACTTCTACTGGAAACAGCCAAGACAATTTACCCAATATAAACTATATAAGTGGTTAAAATCAAAACTTAACAGACAAAAGTCAAGTTAAAGTTTTTATAAATGTTCTTGAAGTGAATAACACAAAAAAACAGCGATTTGTCAAAAACGTGAAATACGTGAAACAAGCACTCCCTTTCAAACAGCGCGCGCAAATTAATTCATGTAGACAATACATGTAGACAATTCAATAAATAAATTAGGTCAAATCCTTAAGGTTACGTAATACTAAAGGTGAAGTGGACAATAATCAGAGTTTAAATAAATATCTTTGAAACACGAAGGAGAGGGAAAATGAGAATGGGTGGGAGGGTTTTAATTAGAACTTACGTAGGCCAAGTGAGAGACAGAAGTAGAACAAAATTGTTTTGTTCGCAGAGACTAGCATTGTTTCCTCAAATTAATTCCCACAGCTTCGGTTATGTGTAAGAGGCAGATTCGAATTCCGTTCGATAGGTTCAATGGAATACGATGGATAACTTTGAAGGCACTACTTCTGTCCACCTGGTGACCGCTATCAATCAAATGAGTCAAAATAGAGCTTCTTGTCGATTGTATTTGACCTTTTCCGAACCATGAAGGAAGATGCTCATTACTACGTTTATTGAGCTGTCTAGTTGTTCGCTCTATATAGGTTTCTCCACAAGAGTATCTAAATTTGTAGATACACATAGAAGTGGTACAGCTAGGCATCTTGTTTTTCACTTGAGCACTCATACGTGGTCGACTGGAAAATGATCAACAAGGGGTGGTGGCAGTATAACTCCGTTTCATTGCTCTCGATAATCTTAGATGTAGGACTGATTGAGTTGCAGCTTCAGGAACAGTTGTTTCTCACTAACTGTTGTCAGTTCCCCTTTATTATAAATGGTGTTCACGTGTCTCCTTACGAGTGTACTAGTATAATCCATTTGGACCAGCGTATTTTGGATGTTTCCCAATTCGTTATCTAGCGAGTAATCTGAACAATATTGTTCGCTTATTTCTTGGTCTAATATTAATAATAGGGATATTTAGAGAACTAATATAAAAGGGAGAGAAAATAGACTTACGTCAAGTTAAAAGAACATATTGAAGGTCAAAATAACAATGAAGACCACTAAACCAAAGAAGAAAGGTGAGAGCGCAACTATCCTGGCTGGTATCAAAACAAAGTTTACTAATGAAGGTGGTTTAGTGTGATGACGAATTTTTTTTAAACTTCCTAACTGCCAGGACCTCCATAAGCCTTAGAATACTCCCCAAACACATTTTGTAGATAGGTTCAAAAGACGTCTAAACATCAATTTTATGTCCTCTAGCTATAATGTGTTTCTCAATAGAGCTGCTGGGTCATCTGTTCTCATCATTAATGGCTTCTGGAGATTCATTTCGCTTCTGATGCCAGACATTACTTGCAGAGATCGATGATTCCTGCCTATATAGGTGTGGCCAGACGTAGATTGAAGCTGGTAAATACAGTGGGATATGACATCATTTTTCGCATGTTCTTAGGGCTTAGATGGATATATCAGCTTCACATTCTCAATTGTTATGAACTTTCAGTTGCATATAAAGTCTTTTTAACCTCAACATTCAATCTCTGTCGAACTATCACGCTGCTGTGATCACCCATATAAGGCAGCTTGATATGTACGTCATTTTATTTATTGGCGAGTTGGCGAATGGGCCTCGGTGTTCTGACTACTTTATATTTTATTATGCATGTTGATACCTGTTTTATGACTCATATGACTGGACAGAGTTTTTAAAAACCAGAGATATCCTTTTATATATAAACCTCTGTTATGTTAATTTCGATTAATTTCCCTGAAGATGTTCGGACCAGATTGACAAACGAAATGTTGGAATTAATCATTTGAATTTCGCTGAGATATTACAAATATAATATTTAAAAATGTCTAGCTAGGAGGAAATGTGCATCCTGGATTCCACTACTAGTCACCATCCACCAATCAAATTGTAATTACATACCCAGACATCGTCGAAGCATCTGCTCAAGAAGCCGATATGTCAACCTGAGACCGAACACTTCGGTACAATCAATCAATCGACGGGAAAATCTAAAATTCAGTTAAATATGACATTGATTGTATAGCTACTTGACATTTAACTATGATTATAATCACAAATATTTTAATTGCATTTCATACTACTATTATTAATATTTCATATATTCACACCTTTGATTCAATTCTGTCACTGGATATAATTTCTTAAAATTCATTTATATGTACGATTGTACTGCAAGATAATAAATTCGTTGTTGAAAAGGGTCTCTTCGCTGAATACGTTGTTCTTAATTATGATCTCATGTTGTCTGTCCTTCTACTTAAGTCTGATTACAGTTCAGTGGAGAACTATTCACATAATGTGTATTCTACCAGCTATGAATAATACACATATCTTTTACGAGTTGATCACGGATTGATATCAGTTAGAGAACCATTGAAAACCAGGGAGTACTGGACACATATATCTATCATTAGGAAAGTGTCTCTGAATTTGATTTCAATTCCGTTGAGAAGAGGTCACATATGAAAACCAAAAAATGTTGTATATACCAAATACGGTGTGTTTAATGTCTATTCTACTAGCGATGAATAATAAAAATATTTCGTTTTGTTAGTGAAGCGTAACGAAATTTGACAACAGCTCACTTAAAACTGGGTCGCCTAATGACAGAACATATAGGGCATATGTTTAATGCACTACCAACAGTCGATAGAATATAGGTTGTCATGATTTATGTGTAAAAATATTTAATGATAACGATTCACTTAGAACAAGCCCACTGTTGAAAGCCAAAAATTGGTGAAGTGTGTGTGAAATGCAACGAATTTTGGATTCTATTCCGGTAATGACGAATGAAGACATGAAAACCAAAAAAATCGAAATGAACCAA